ATTAATTTATTATTAATGTACTGACCTAATTAATAATTTAACGAATATAAATGAATTCATAAAATGAGATATGATAATTATGATCAAATATTAGTCAGTATTTGAATTAAATTATGAATGAATGAATCAACCAATAACATTAAGTAATAATAATATGAATAATTGTAGTTTTAGTCATAGTTTTTATTTGCATGTTCATTCATTTTATTATTATTATTTTGCTTGTTTCTTTGTAAAGCAGATTGAGGAGCTGCATTTAAAAATGCAATATAGAATAAAATGTATTATTATTATTGCTATTATTATTATTATTATTGATGCTTGCAATAATTATGAGACTGTGTTGCCTATTTATCCATGGCTTTTTGTGCTTTATTTTATTTCATAATTTCTCAGCATTGATAAGAATGTCATGGTAGACAGTGTAAGTAATGCTCAATGTTGCATGCACTCTCCTGCTGTTCAAGATCAGACACACTGATGTCAGGCTGTCAGACAGTCGTCACCTGATGTTGCTCTCCTGGCTCTCTCTGATCCACGGTTTGTACGTTAAGCTGAAATCTGAACTCTGCTGTAGTCACACTCCTCTGGATCTGCAGCAGCTGGCGTGTCTGTGTGTTTCTCTCGCTGCAGGAGCGTTCAGGATGTTGAGAAGCCTCAGATCTCGTCCTGCAGTAAAGGAGACGCGTCCCAACACTACCGCAGCTCACCCAGTAACCAGTCGTCCTCCAGCGACCCGGGACCCTGCGCAAGCACCAGCTGGAACCAGCAGCCGGGATACGACGGGTAACACACACTCACAGAGAATTATTCCATAACGTATACAGTATATATATAATTAATACGATTATATTGATCATTTTTATTATCAAGTATTATTTTAGTATTTAGTCGTATTTTAGTTTATTTGTTATAGTTTAATTTAGTATTAATGAAAATGAATCCAATGAAAAGCTCAATTAATATAAATCAGTAAATTAGTAAAATTATATTGATCATTTTTATCAAATATTATTTAGTATTTTAGTTTATTCTAGATTAATGTAGCATTCATATATTGGTTCAATTAATATAAATTAATAAATCAAACAAAAACATTTACAGCATTATATTGATAATTCTTTTGATATTTTTTTTAAATACAATTTATTTCGTTTTAATTCAGTTTATTATCATTTAATTTTGAATTAATGTATTGGTCCAGTTAATAATTATATTAATATAAGTCAATCAATGAATCAGTTAATAATGTATTGGTTCAATTAATATAAATTAATAAATCTAACAAAAACATTTATAGCGTTATATTGCTAATTATTTTCCATTTTTTTAAATAAAATTTATTTAGTTTTAATTCAGTTTATTATCATTTAATTTAGAATTCATGTATTGGTCCAATTAATATTTATATTAATATAAATCAATCAATGAATCCGTTAATAAAATTGTATTGATAATGTTTATCAAATATTAGTCAGAATTAGTTTAGTGTTAATTTAGTTTATATATTATAGTTTAATTTAGTACTAAAGTATTGGTCCAATTAATATTTAAATTTATGTAAATCAACCAATAAATCAATTAATAGCAATATATTCATAATTGTATTTAATATATAATTATAATTTAGTATTAATTTAGTATAGATTTCATTTATTTAATATAGTTTAATTTGGTGTTATAGTATTAATAAAAACATTTATTAATTTATTCATATTTATATTATAAATATGTATACATCTTTTATTTAATCTTTATAATAAACTTGGGTTTATCGTATTGTCCATCTGATTTAGGTTAATTTGGGTTTTAGAAATTAATTCATAAGTATCCTTATCAATGTTCAGGCAAAGTAACTGGTAATTTACTAATTTAGTAAAAGTGATTAGTACTCAATTTAAAGTCAGCCATAAAGACTTTTAGACAGCGCACTTTTAGCAAATTTCACATGTCTCGTCCAGCATTGACAAAAACCTCCTCCTTAACACATTTTATTACCAGAATTTGTTGAACTTTTTTTTATTAATATCCAATGTTTCTCAACTCCCATAATCAAGACTGACAGTTGTTTAGGATCAGTAAAGAAACGAGCTGTTGCTGTCTGATCATTTGCCTGATTGAAGTCATTTTGGCCGTTCCCATGAATCTGAACTCTCGCCGGTCTCTTCTGCAGGTGTCAGTCTCCTGTGCTCCACGAGTGCTCGGCTGAAGCCCAGGGCATGCTGGGAGACGGGGAGATGCTGAGGGAGAGAGAGCCGACTCTCGAGAGGACACGCTCTGCAGGTGCCATTCACACATTTACACTGATCATTCCCACGAGTGAAGGTCAGGAAGACATTAGCTACTGGACTGAAAATATACTGGAGATTATTATACGGGAACTTAGGGCTGGGCGATTTTTCCGATTTTATCAAAGAATTCGAATTTAATGTTTTGCCACGATTTTTTTTTACAATTTTGAATAGAATTGTTACCAATCATTAGAATTAGACACTTAGACAATATGCCAGTGATAACAGGAAAGAGAAAACAATGATCGTGTGTGGCGCGTTCTGTGAAGTACCGTTAGTAGTATACTGTAAAAAAATGAC